TATTGTGCTGCTGTTGGGTGAAGTGCTCTATAGATGTCTATAAGGCCAAGTTGGTGGATTGTATTGTTTAGCTCTTCTGCATCTTTGTTGAGTTGAAACTTGCTCTTGAGTGGAGAGAAGCTAAAGTGAATGGAAGAAATGATGAAGACAGACCTGAACAAATTTCAATGGACAACTCCGGGAGACAAAGTATTACAAAGCCTTACAGTTTAAGAAAAACATGCTTGGCATTTTTCAAGCTGAAAAGAACTGAAGAAAAAACTTAAGCCTTGGGTTGCAATACTGAAGGATTCTATGGGTAAAATACTGACCACCACAGGAAACATGAGAAGAATACACAGTCACTGCACCAACAAGTGGTCAACGTCCAACCATTTCAGGGCAGCATGGGACCCAGAACTGACGGCAGTGAAGGAGCAAGTCGAAGCCGCACTGAAAGAATTGGTGGAAAACAAGACTCCAGGAACTGAGGGACTGCCTACCGAGATGCTTCAACAAAAGGAACTAACACCGGAGGCACTCACTCGTTTATAAGAAATTGGGAAGACAGCTACCTGGCCAACTGACTAGAAAAGATCATCATTTGTGCCCATTCCAAAGAACACAGAAATTGAACAACATCATTCACATCACATGCAACTAAAATTTCCTTAAAGATAACTCAAAAATGGTTGCAGCAGTATACTGACAGGGAGCTAGCTGCAAGAAATTCAAGCCAGATTCAGAAGAGAATGTGGAATGAGGGATATTGTTGCTGAAATGAGACGGATCCTGGCTGAAAGCAAAGAATACCAAAAAGACGTTTACCTGTGTTTTACTGACTATGCAAAGGCACTCAACTGTGTGTGAAATCCTAACAAATTATGGCTAACATGGAGAAGAGAATCCCAGATCATTTAATTGTGAACTTGAGCAACCTGTATACAGACCAAGCAGCAGCTGTTCAAACAGAGTAAGGGAATACTATATGGTTTAAAATCAGAAAGGGTGTGTGTCAGGGTTAGATCTTTTCAGCATACTTATTCAATCTGTATGCTGAGCAAATAACGTGAGAAGGTGGACTATATGAAGAAGAACGTGGCATCAGGATTGAGAAAGACTCATTAACCACCTGAAGCAGGTAGCTGACACACCCTTACGTGCTGAAAGTGAAGCTGACATGAAACACACACGGATGAAGATCAATGACCATAGCCTTCATTACGGGTTATGCTTTCACATAAAGAAAACAAAAATCCTCACAGGTGGACCAATAAGCTGTATCAGCATAAACAGACAATAGACTGAATTGTCAGGGATTTCATTTTACTTGAATCAACACCCATGGAAACAGCCAGTCAAGAGATCAAATGACATACTGCATTGGGCAAATTTGCTGCAAAGACCTCTTTAATGTGTTAATGAGCAAAGATGTCACTTTGAAGACTAAGGTGCTTCTGACCCAAGCCACAGTATTTTCAATAGCCTCAAACACATGTGAAAGTTGGACAATGAATAAGATGACACCAGAACTAATGCATCTGAATTATGGTGTTAGTGAGGAATAGGAGATGTACCCTTGGACCACTAGAAGAACGAACAAATCTGTCCTGGGGCAAGTACAGCTGCAACGCTCCCCAGAAGCAGGAATGGCAGACTGTCCCTTTTATTTCGGGTCACATTATCCTTTCACCATACTTATTCAGTCTCTACACCGAGCAAATAATCCGAGAAACTGGACTATATGAAGAACGTGGCACCAGGATTGGAGGAAGGCTCATTAACAACCTGTGATACGATGACGACACAACTTTGCTTGCTGAAAGTGAGGATGACTTGAGACACTTACTAATGAAGACTGAAGAGTTCAGTCTGCAGTATGGATTACATCTCAATATAAAGAAAACAAAAATCCTCACAACTGGAGCAATAAGCAGCATCACAATAAACGGAGAAAAGACTGAAGTTGTCAAACACTTCATGTTACTTTGTTCTACAATCAACACCAATGGAAGGAGCAGTCAAATGTACAGCACTGGACAAATCGGCTGCAAAGGCCCTCTTTCAAGTGCTGAAGAGCAAAGATGTCTCCTTGAGGACTAAGGTGCACCTGACACAAGCCGTGGCATTTTCAGTCTCCTCATATGCATGTGAGAGCTGGACAATGAATAAGGAAGACTGCAGAAGAGTGGATGCTTCTGAGTTGTGGTGTTGGAGAAGAATGTTTAAACTACCGTGGACTACTAAAAGGACTAACAAATCTGTCCTGGAAGAAGTGCAGCCAGAACGCTCCTTGGAAGTGAGAATGGTCGGACTTCATCTCACCTACTTTGGTCATGTTGTAAGAAGGGACCACTCCCTGGAGAAGGATGTCATGCTTGGTCAAGTGGAAGGTCAATGAAAGAGGAGAATGCCCTCAACAAGATGAACTGACACAGTGGCTACAATGATGCACTCAGGTATGGCAGGGGTCATGGAGCTGGCACAGGACCGGGCAGTTTCTCGTCCAGCTGTACATAGGGTCGCTATGAGTCAGAGATGACTCGACGACACCTAACAACAACATCAGAAGGCACCAGTCCTTGGACAAGGACATCATGCTTGGTAAAGCGGAGCGTCAGGGAAAAGGGGGAAGACCCTCAACAAGACAGACAGATACACTGGCTGCAAGGACGGGCTCAAGCACAGCAAGGACTGTTAGTCTGGTGCAGGACCGGGCAGTGTTCTGTTCTGTTGTACACGGGGTCACTGTTAGTCAGAACTGACTGAACAGCACCTGACAACACCACTGTGTCAAGACTGACTTTTGTCTTTAGATGTTACTTGGGGACCGCGTTTCATCAGTAAGTGGATTCCCATAGGTTGTGCTCGAAGATGTTTACATGTACTCTGAGCCAAACAGCAACTCCAAAGCGGCCAGCCACACACAGCCTCAGTCAGTGGTTTGCACCACACCAAGCACCCACGTTGGCACGGACGTACAGACTTCAAGTCAAGACCTTCTTCCAGCAGAAGCTGCCAGGAGCCTGGCACTCAGCAGCTCGTCTTGGACAGCACCGCTCGGCCACTAGCAGAGCGTGGAGGGACACACTCTCTTCAGGACCAACCCACCACGCAGCTGCCGTCTCGGGCACACTCACTCTGGACATTTCACCAGAGTCTGGTCTCAGGTGCTTGAGAGGATTTGGTATTACAGTCTAACCCGTGAAAGTCAGCATGTGTGTCAGGGAAACCTGTCAGAGAAGGAAAACGCCAATATTTTCCACTAAAACACATCACAGAAGAGTGGTCAGACTGCCTCTGTCCAAGGCAGGAAGCTGCGAGACTCAGAAACACAAGGCTGTGCTGTCGGCCTCCAGAGCTCCCAGCGCTCAGGTTCCCCTTAGTTTACCTGTGCTGCTCGAGCACCAACACTTCCTTCAACGAAACTATGTTTCTGCACCACCCTCAGGACTCAGGCCCTGTTTGAAGACGGGGGCAACTCCCTGGCCTAGGCAATACTGCTGCTTTCTTGGCTACTTTTAAGAATCCACGTTTCAAAGTAAGTAGCATCAAGTATTATTGCCTTCTCTACTTAGGAAAACATAAAACTACTACTGACAAATCTTACCTGATGGTTTCTTTCACAGAACCAACTTCCAACACCAATGTTAATCAAGATTACCCTGCTTTTAAATAATCACTGTGTCATTTTGACAGTATCTATAATAGTGCTTCCCACCCATGTCTCTTACTGTTTAGTTCCAGTCTGACAGCATGCAACCCTTCAGCCATTGCAGTCTGCATCACCCTAAACGACCTCCCTCCCCTCAGGCCCGCCGGGGGTACCCACCAGATCAGCTGATCGTTATAGAGAAAGGCGGTGTACTTGAGGACACTCAAGCTCTCCTCCATCCTATTAATAAAGGATTGGATTTTCAAATAAGTCATTTTATCCAATGGGAAGAAGCTGATTCCACCAAAAATGTCCAGGAGGTCACAGGACTGTAGATGCAGCGTTTGCAGATACTGTCGGGAAAAGATGAGGCATGAAACTAACGGTACATCCACAACCATACCCTTTGATAACTAAAAATATCATTAGGTTAGATTAATATTTATGGTACAACTACATACTGACAAACAGCACTAACTGAAAAGGCCAACAAGCAGGTGAGCCTGGCTGGGGTAATCAGATCTGAAATGAGTACCAATGGCAAAAGATGAAGTTCACACAAAACTGACGCTGTTATTGGGTGCTCTTGAGTCAGTTCTGACTGATACAATTAGTACCACTGCCCCATAAAGTTTCCAAGGCTATAAGCTACATATTTCTCCTGTGGAGCGGCTGGTGGGTTTGAACCATGGACCTCTCAGCAGCTGGGAGCTTAACCACTATGCCACCAGAGCACCTTCTAACAAAACTAATGTTTATTCTGTACTGTGTTTTATCTTTTTAAAGTTCTTAATTCCTTATATTAGTGCTCTTCAAATTAAATTGACCTGCCAGAGATATCAATTGACAAATGAGGACAAACCAAAAAGAGGGGAAAAAACTGTGTCGTTACAGAACTTCTAGAAGGTAGTGATCTCAAGACAACTACAAGATAGAACAGACTATTCTAAGTTTGGGAAGAAACCTATAATCTGAAAGAAAAATGATAAACCTTCACATCAAAATAAAAAAGAGGACCAGCACAAATACGTAGCAAATACTAAAACAATAGCAACAAAGGAAGTGATAACACGATGCATAAACGAAATGAGCTCAGCATAGAAAGTTATATGGAACAAAGAAACCAACATCACAAAAAGGCACATAACAAAAATGACAGCAACAAATTCATATTTGCCAATAATTACGTACCTGGCAAGAGACTTATCTCTAAGATTTATAGAAAACTCTTAACGCCTCAACAGCAAAGGGATTAACAATCCAATTGAAAAATGGGCAAAAGACACGAATAGACACTTCACCAAGGAGGATGGATATTCAGGTGGCCAGCTAATATATGAGGAGATGTTCACAATCATTGGCCATCAGAAAGATGCAAATCAAAACAATGAGATACCTTCTCACCCCAGCACTGATGGCAAGGTTAAGCAAGACAGAAAATAACAAATGCTGGTGGGGATGTGGAGATTGGGACTCTCATACACTGCTGGTGGGACTGTGAATTGACACAACCACTGTGGAAAGCAATACAGCCATTCCTTAGAAAGCTAGAATTGGAAATACCATTTGACTCAGCAATCCCATTACTAGGTATATATCCTACAGAGGTGAGAGCCAGGACGGGAACAGATTTACACACACCCATGTTCATCGCAGCACTATTTACAATAGCAAAAAGATGGAAACAACCTACATGCCCATCAGCAGAAGGGTGGATGACCAAACTATGGTACATAAACATAACAGAATGCTACATAGCACTAAAGAATAATGTAGAGTCTGCAAAACATCATATAATATCGATGAACTTGGAGGACATTATGCTAAGTGAAATAAGCCCATCACAGAAGGACAAATATAGTTATTAGTTCGTTGTTGTGGAGGGTCAAGAAAGGGTTTATAAATGGAGGGAAACTTTCTTTGTTGGTTGCCAGCGGTTGGAGGGGAGTGAACACTGAAAAAAAAATTTGTTGACCCATGTCACTTTAGTTCTGTGTATTTCACTGTACATAAATCATATTTCAATAAAATGAATTTTAAAAAATTGACCTGTTTAGGAATCCACATGATAATGTCATGGGCAGGCCATGACATTTCATACTCAAATCACGTAGAAAAGGCATGTGGTTAGGACAAGAAGTCCCAACTACAGGGAAAAAACAGTGTTGACAGGGAGGAGAGTAGTGGGGAAAAGAATAGGGAATGAGGAGATAGTATGAGTGAATAATTAGTCATTAAAATAAAGGAACAAACACAAAGAAATATTGCTAATGCACTATGACAAAGAAATAAAAAAAAAATACATACACACACACACACACACACACACAAAGGTGTTTTAAAGAAAAATTGAGAATTAATCCTCTAAGATAAACTGAATTTCACCAGAGATAGGGAGCCTGATGGCTCAGTGATTAAGAGTTCGGCTGCTAACCAAAAGATCAGCGGTTCAAACCCACCAGCCACTCCACGGGAGAAAGATAAGGAGTCGGCGTCCACACAGATTACAACCTTGGCAACCCTATGGGGCAGTTCTCCTCTGTCGCACAGAGTCACCGTGCTGTCGCACCGAGTCACCGTGCTGTCGCACCAAGTCACCGTGTGCTGGAATTCGCTCGATAGCGACGGGTTTTCTACTTTTACCACAATCTGTTGTAGGCTGTTTGCTCCTTTTCAGTTCTGCAGTTCTGGTATTTGAGAAATAAACGTGCCTCTATCTCTCTCTAAAGATCTGTTTGCACACTACTAAAATTATAAATGCAATTCAAAATACTTACCCGGTGGAAGAATTTCTCTAATCTTTCTTTTAGGAGCTTGACACCTCCATCTTCCATGGCTTTCAGAAACGTACCATTAAAAAGCTAATAATGGTGTAGAGAAAAGCGCTCGTAAGGTCAAGCAGACAGAATACAAATAGGTATATTAAAAAAAAAAAAAAAAACCCACTGCCATAGGGTCAGCTCCAACTCACAGCAACCCTATAGGACAGAGGAACTGCCTTATAGGGTTGCCAAGTTTTTTTTTTTTTTAATCTCAATTCGTATTTATTTCAATTTGCATAAATAGTATCATCTAACTTTTTAAATTCACAAAATATCTGCAGTCTGTCTTGTTCACCAATGAGGATGCAGTGCCTGTTAGAGCTGGGAACAGAGAAGGCGCTTCCATAAGCAGCTATTGGTTGGTGTACACATGACCTCACTACTTGTTTCCAAAGCCCCATTATTTCTTCCTCTAAAACAGATACCAACTCCCTTGGTGGTCCTCAAAAAATTAACAATTGTTTGAAAAAGACCTTTGAGCTTCTAATTATTTTTGTTAGGGGCTATCAAGTCAGTTCCGACTCACAGCAACCCTATGTCCGACAGAATGAAACCCCACCCGGTCCTGCATCATCCTCCCAATCTCTGCTGTGCTTGAGCTCACCGCTGCAGCCACAGTCTTGTAAAGGGGCTGCCATTAGACTCTTGGTTCAAGAAGAACGTCACGCTCACCTTGTACATGCTGTAGCACTGCTGTAGCACTGAACTGTACACCTTGTCCTAGAAACACAGAGACAGCACAGGTCGGAACCCAAGGGAGGGAAGAAACAGACTGTCTACTGTACAGCAAAGGTACACTGACTCTCGGCAAAGCAAGTTGACCTGTATCAGCTCCACCCTCCAGCAGTTGTGTCTAAAAACCAAAAAACCAAACCCACTGCTGTCAAGTTGATTCCCCCTCAGTGTCCCCAAAGGGCAGAAGAGAGAGCTGCTCCTTAGGGTTTCCAAGGCTGTGATCTTTACGGGAGCGGACTGCCACACCTTTCTCCAACGGAAGGGCTGGTGGATTGGGACTGCGATCTGGAGATTAGCAGTTCAGCGCTTTTACCACCGTGCCACCAGGGCTCCTTTAGTTGTGCTCTGAAGGGATATTTAAAATTCTGAGTCCATAATTCTCATTGTAAGGAGGCTTTGGACACCGGAGATCAGTAGAAGGTATTAATGCTGAGGGTGCATAGACATTTTTAAACGGTTACGCAGTGCAAACACACACAAAACTCTGCTATGTCCCGAGAGATGTTTGCAAAAGGGATCCAGCTTAACTCTAGTTAGCTGCTCAGCATACTCAATAACACGTTTTTTTTTCCCCCCTAAAAATACGAACTAAAAAGTACATTACCAACAACTCCTCTTCTTGGTATTCAACAACTGGTTTTCCATCTTTGCTCTGCTTTTCGATGATAGGATTCCGAACAACCTACAAAGTTTAATGCATTGAAATAATATGATAATTACAGCATTTTGATGTTCCCTCGACATAAAAAAAGGAACATTACAATGCTAATTTCTTAAAACAGCCCCCCTAAAACATGCAATGTGAATGTGCTTTGAAATTGCAACAGACTTTACTGTAAATCTTATTTTTATGCAATAGCCAGAAAACTCATTCTAATTCCTAATGGCAAATATAACTCCTAACTTTACCATCCACATTCAGAAAGAGACACTATGTATGTAAGTACCATGACCATCCAAAAATTTTCTTCTGCCTCATTGAAGAATTGTCTATTCTTCTGTGTATGCAAAGATTTTGCAGGTTTTGAAGGACTGAAGGTCCTAAAAAGGTTAAAAGAATATATTTGGGACAATTCTGCAGGATAAATTTTAAGCATTCAGTGAGTTCTCCAAAAACATTTAGAAGCCTTACCTTGTGAATTGTACAATAGCTTCACACAATCCAACATTTCTAATTTTTTCATTCTTTTCTACTTCATTTGGATGATAGAACAAAATTTTATTTTCCTCCTAAAGAGTGAAGAAAAGCAAGCACATTAATATAAGCAGCTTAACCACGGAAAATGCTAATTTAAACATCAACAACGTCACATGTTGAAACATGCTGAAACCGAGTACTATTTCCCCCACCCTGGCACCTGGATGGGAATAGATAGGTAGACTAGACTACCTCCAACTATTTCCCCCACGCTGGTTAAGGCAGTAATTAGGTAAGACCCCTGTGGACAAGTTGTTGTTATATGCCGTCAAGTCGGACCCAACTCATAGTGGTTTCCGAGGCAGTATCACTACAGAAGTAGATTGCCCCATCTTACTTCCAAGGAGTGAGAACAAAAGTTAATTGCTGACCTTCTCCCCTCTGCCCAAGCCCCTATCAGCTGGTAACAAGAAGCTAGTGACTCATTATGCCCCAAATTCCTGAAACGTACAAAAACTGTGCTTTGATGGCATCTCGGGGAGTTAAGATCTGGGTACTAACTACCCCTAACTGCCTGCACTGCTGCTTTGCAATAAATAATTTTCTCTCCTCTCAATCTCGGTGTGTAAACTGTTTTGGCCTGACTGCGCACAGGGCAGGGACCCGCGTTTTGTCCGGTAACAATGTCATAAATGAAAAAAAAAAAAAAAAAACCAAAACTCTTTAAAAAAATAAATTATCTATTATTGCATCAATATCGTCCACCAGCCTTTAAGATTTTATGACATTCAGTATATAAATCTCATTCCATCCCTCTCAAAGCCCAGCATTTGTATTTCTTCTCTCAGGCTAATTTGTAATATACCAACGCTTGTTTAAAAAAAGAAGAAAAAGCGCGTGCACACGTGTACAGACCTACACCTCCCCGCAAATTAAATCCAGCTGGTTCATACGCATGTGGACTGACAACCTTCAAAAAAGACCGTGATTTGCTGCCAAATTACAAAACATAGCTCTGGACATCCTTTGGGGAAGTCACCGTCCCCATCACACACACAGAAAACTCCTGGAATTTCTTTATTAATTTATTTTTTTTGGGGGGTGACTTTTCCAGGGTCCTCCCGGCTTGCATTACTTCGGGACCACAGTCCACCACTCTTGTTTCATGCTTGTTTCTAGTCAGAGACTTCCAATAACAAAAATATAAGCTCATTTGAAGGACCAGCAGTTGTGCCAAGAGTAAGAGGCTCACCTCGCCGGGAGTGATTAACCTAATAAACCTTTATTCGATAACCCCCGGTGTCTCAGCCGTACCCCCGCGCCACACCTGGCACCAAGCGGGAGTTCAGGAAACTCGGCTCAAAGAAGGCAGGATGACAGGTGCTGCTCGCGAGCTTTCCGATCGGGCGCCGCCTCCCGTGCCGCACCCCGCTGCTCCCGGAGTCTGACGCCAGCCCTCCCGCCCCCAGGCCCTCTTCTGCCGCCGGCGGACGCACCTCTCCCTCGCGCGGTCCGAAGCGCGGGTTGTAAATGAAGAAACTCAGCAATGCCGGCGGGAACTGCTTCTCCTGGGCCGCCCAGGCCGCGGCGCCGGCTGCCGCCATCCCGGCCCGGCCCCCGCCTCGGGAGCCTCCCTCCGCCCGCCCAGAGACAGCAGCCGCGAGGAACCTGCACTTCCGCCTCGTGCGCCGTCGCTCCGGAAGTAGTCACCGCCAGCCCGGAAGAAGAATCCACAGCGCTGCGTCCCCTCTTGGTACCAGTGACACCATTAGGGTTGGTGTCACTCGGTGCCGTACCTCATGGTGTCAGGCCCCCCGTGGGTGGAGCGGGCAGGCCGGATAAATAACCCCCACCAGGTGGGCGGGGATGCCCGGCGCCGCCCCGCCTCCACGCAGGGCCCAGCGTCGCGCCGCGGGGTCCCGCCCCTGTCGGCCTCGCCCCCTACGGGTCCCTGAAGCTCCTCCCTCTCCCATTGGCCAAGACGGTGATACTCTCTTCAAACTAATGGTGGGCGCGGGTGCCAGTCGCCCCTCACCCAGGCTGGCGGGGACGGCGGGGGAGAGTAGTGTTGGAGAGGGTAGTGACGCGTTACCGCACCAGGTGACTGTTGACAGAAATCGTAGTGACACCACTACCTTGGCGGCCCCTCCTGCCACGCCGACCCACCCGCCGCCCGGATCCTGGGGTCATTTTGGGGTCATCCCCTCTGACAGTGTTGGGGGTGCGGTCTGCACTCCCTGCCCCCCCCCCACAAGTGACATAATTACCTGGCACCGGGGTGGTTCGTTCCCATCTGTTTCCTGCGCTGTGGTGGTTTTATAAGAGCGCTAAGGGGACGACCACATCTCTTTTGTTTGCTCCCAGATTTCGGTTCCGACTGATCGGGAGGGCTGCTTAAGAGGAAATGGGAGTGGGGAGGCGCGAACACAGCACCTGTGTGGAAGAAAACGCGCTCATTTGCATCAGCTGTGGGTCCCTCCGGGCATTTAGGTGGATTCCTGCTCTAGAGACTTAGGTTACCCTCTGGATGGAACCAAACCGACGAGCAAGGAAGAGTCCACGCAGGTGTGAAGGTGCTGGCTTCTCTGTGTGTAGCCGAAGCAGGTGCCAGTTCCAGGCCTTGGCTCACCTCTCCAGCGTTTGGGATTTCACCCTTAGAAGGACTGGTTACTTCTGTTATTTGGAGCTCAAGCCCTTGCAGCAGGCTGCTTGGTCAAACTCACGAAGACCGTGGTTTGGTAGCCATGTCTGTCACCCTTCAGCTGAGAAACAGACCCTCAGGGAGGTGATGCCGTGGAGTTTGAACCTGTGGTGGAATTAGGACATGGGTGCATGTCCTAGCTCTGTCACCATTAGGTGTAAGACCTCAGGCCTATTACCTAGGTTCTCTACAGCCCCTCTCTTACATGCAAAACGACCTGTAGGAAATGCCTGCCTGATGGGAGTTTTGCTGTAAGAATGAAATAGGACAATGAATTAATCAAGTGCCAGCACTTAATCTTCCAGCAAACCATTGCTATCATTACTTGCTTTTGGCCGACTTTCCCAGCTGGTTTGCTCTGGTGCAGGAAATACATGTTTTAGAAGCTGTGGTGGTTATGTTTGTGGGTCAACTTGGCTGGGCCTGGTTGAGTGGCTGGACAGCTGGTGGTAGTTATTCCCCATGATGAGACTGGCAATCAACTACATGATGGGATCCACCACAAGCAGCTGAGTAGCTGCTTTGGGTATGTGGTCTGCTTCCCGTATATAAGAAGCAGCTTTGGGAATGGTCTCCAGCCTATGGCACGCTTGGAGTCGGCATGTAGCCGTGTCGTTGTTCAGCAGCCTGCCATGCTCGGCCAACCTGGGGTTTTAGACTGGACTTGAATTAATGGCCTGCCATGTGGTTTGGTAACATCAAGACAGTGCCTTTTGACTTGCCTTGGGCTTGGCAGCCTCAGCAGCTGGCAGCTATCTGAGTGAAGAGATGCCTTTAGCTCCAGTGGGCCGAGAGCAGGAGGCAGAGCTGGACCCCAAGGCTGAAGGGCTTCCACCCAGCCCCTGGAGCCTGGCACTTTGAACTTGGACTTAAAGCCTCCAAATTGTAAGAATAAGCTCCTGTGTGTTAAGACCATCCCATTTGTGGTATATTTCTGTCAGAGCAGCAGTAGGGAACCAGAACAGAAGCTAAGCAGTAATTTTCCAACACTCTTAAGGGGCCATCCTTTGCATCCCTTGACACAAAGAGTTTTATGGGGACCTTCTAATATATAAAAGGAGCTCTGTGGCACAGTGGTTAAAGCATTTGGCTGTTAACCAAAAGGTTGGTGGTTCGAAGCCACCAGCCACTCTGCAGAAGAATGATGTGGCAGTTGCTTCCCTAAAGACTGAGAGCCTTTGAAACCCTATGCAGCAATTCTGTACTATAGGATCAGTATGAGTTGACTAGTGCCAGTGGGCTGGGTTTCTAATACATAATATGGACACAGGTTGAATGAGGACCCAGGTGGTCATCATGTGCGCTAAGGAGCTCTGGTAGCATAGTGCCTAAGGCACTTGACTGCTAACCAGAAGGGGGGCGGTTCAGACCCACAGCCACTCCTCAGAAGGAAGGTTGGGCAATCTACTTCCGTAGTGATACTGCCTCAGAAACCCAAGGAGGGGTTGCTGTGAGTCAGGTCTGACTCGATGGCACATAACAAGAGTGCAGTTGGCCTTCAACCAACTGCGGGGGCAGGGGTGGGGGGAAGGGAGGGGGAGAAGTCAAAGCAAACCCTCAAAGACTAAGAGGGAGCAGAGAGTGCTATGTACATAGCATTTACATTGTCTATTCCGTCTTATAAATAACTGGACAATGGATAAGGAAGACTGCAGAAAAACTGATATGGTGGAGAATATTGAAGGTACCCTGGATGCCAGAAGAACGAACAAATGTCTTAGAGGAAGTACAGCCGGAATGCTGAGATGGGCCAGACTTCTCTCTCATGCTTTGGTCATGCTGTCATAAGGCACCAATCCCTGGAGACCATCATCATGCTTGGTAGAGTGGAGGGTCAGGGAAAGAGGGGGACCCTCAAAGAGATGGATGGACACAGGGGCTGCAACAATGAGCTGAAGCCTAGCAGCAGCTGTGAGGATGGCGCAGGGCCAGGCAGTGTTCCCTTCTGTTGTACGTGGGGTCGCTGTGGGTGGGAACTGACCCAATGGGACCTAACCACAGCAACAGAGATTTCAAGCCTCCAGGAGGGTATGCGTAGGTTATATGCAGATACTGCACCATTTTATACAGGGAACTTGGCCATCCGTGGATTTCGTACCCCTGGGGTTCTGGAACCAATCCTCCACTGCTACTGAGGGGTGATATAGATAGAAAACTCTAGGTTGGAGAATCTGCCCTTTATTTCAGAGCAAACGCTTCCAGAAGACTAGCAGAGAAGGAGCCCAGGCCTTAGTTTGGAAAACCTGAGTTTGAGTTCCGGCTTAGTCAATTATAGATGTATGACCTTTGGCCGAGCTCTTAACCTCTTTGAGTCTCAGTTTCCTCCTCTATAAAATGAAGTTAATCCTGCCTCACAGGTTATTGCAAATATTAAATTAGATAATACAAGTGAAAGCCCTTTGTAAAGTACAAAGTTCTGTACATATGTGATGAGATAACATTTTATAGTGTTAGTCAAGATTTCTCTCCCATGCTTCTATTTCCCTGTACACTTTCTTTCCCCTGCCCCCCCCGTTTAATCAGTTGCATTATTTACCACCGGAGAAGATTGAAACAAAACAAAAACCCAAAACGAGAAATCAAAGAAAATGCTTCTAGGTTTCAAAGCCGTCTAAGCAAGAAAGCTTGGATATTGGTGAATGCCCCTTCGCCTAGCCTCCTCCTAGGGTGTGCCTGGGTGTGAGGCAGGTGTGGTCGTGATGACAGACACCTGGATAGGTTTGGAGCTATCAGAGTAGAGGGGGGGTGTGCCTTGCTTCCTGGTGGACCTGGCAGAGGGGACAGAGTTCCTCCTGGGTCAAGAACAATGTGGTGTCAGGAGTCGCGACCACAGGATTGTGTAGGCAGTAAGCCCTCACTCAGTGCAGGAAGTAACCAAATGTTTTGCTCATGCACAGAAGTAATTGAGAGCCGGACCACAGAGCCAGCAAGGCCGGGGCCAGGAGGAGGCCACTGTGGCCTGGGCGGGCCACTGCGAAGGCCGCGAGGCTCTAGAGGAACAGGGATGACTCCGTGGTCACGGCTGTGGACTGGGCCCCAGATACTCCTCCCGTGCAGGCCTTGGCGAACAAGCCTTCCTCCCTCCTTCAACCGAGGACAGGAAGGGCCTGAGTTTCCTGAGTGATCCCAAGTGACGTTCTGTCACGCAGCAGAGTAGGGGTTCAGAATAGTCAGCTGTGCAGAGCCAAGCTAAACACCACTGAGCAAAACAAGATATCTTTTGCCCAGAGAATCCATGAACTTCCAATTCTGAGGGAATGAGATACGGGACAGAGGCGTTTTTTTGTGATGGAACGAGGCCCACAGCCCAAGTAGAAAGCCACAGTCCAAAGTGGATTGTTTGGAACATTCTCACATTTTTTACAAGTACAAGTCTCTGGTCCCCCAACAAGCAAGAGAGCTTTGACAGGTAGGACTCTGATGACATCCTCTTCTTGTGCCCGGGGTCTCCCACAATGCCTGCCTCCCAGGACACAGTCAACGCACGTTGAGACAGTTGGAGAAGTGGACACTAGGGACCACCTTTCCTCCTTCAGATGTCTGCTGCAAATCATCCGGCAGGAGCTCAGATCTCGGGCTGAGCTGACGTTTTAGTGGCTTCTTGCCTCCTCGTGCTCAGAACTGAACTCCAAGGAGAAGCTGCTGGGTAGAGTTTCGGATGCTGCAAACGCCTCTAAGGCCATCTGTAAGGAATCCTGGTGGTGCAGTGGTTAAGCACTCAGCTGCTAACTGAAAGGTCTGTAGTTCAAACCTACCAGCTGCTCTGCAGGAGAAAATGCCTGGTGATCTGCTTCCATAGAGATGACAGCTTGCAAACCCCACAGGGCAGTTCTACTATGTCCCACAGTGTCACTATGAGTCAGAATCCACTCACCGGCACACAACAAAGGCAGCTGTGCAAAGGGCCACTCCATTCGCACTGTTGGCAGAAATTACAAACCAGTGAGTCAGATGACCCAGCTTCTCTCTTAATGTGGTGCCCAGACTCCAT